GCTTCCCCCATCCCCTTCCGTGCTTCCCCCATCCCCTTCCGTGCTTCCCCCCATCCCCTTCCGTGCTTCCCCCATCCCCTTCCGTGCTTCCCCCATCCCTTCCGTGCTTCCCCATCCCCTTCCGTGCTTCCCCCATCCCCTTCCGTGCTTCCCCCATCCCCTTCCGTGCTTCCCCCATCCCCTTCCGTGCTTCCCCCATCCCCTTCCGTGCTTCCCCCATCCCCTTCCGTGCTTCCCCCATCCCCTTCCGTGCTTCCCCCATCCCCTTCCGTGCTTCCCCCATCCCCTTCCGTGCTTCCCCCATCCCCTTCCGTGCTTCCCCCATCCCCTTCCGTGCTTCCCCCATCCCCTTCCGTGCTTCCCCCATCCCCTTCCGTGCTTCCCCCATCCCCTTCCGTGCTTCCCCCATCCCCTTCCGTGCTTCCCCCATCCCCTTCCGTGCTTCCCCCATCCCCTTCCGTGCTTCCCCCATCCCCTTCCGTGCTTCCCCCATCCCCTTCCGTGCTTCCCCCATCCCCTTCCGTGCTTCCCCCATCCCCTTCCGTGCTTCCCCCATCCCCTTCCGTGCTTCCCCCATCCCCTTCCGTGCTTCCCCCATCCCCTTCCGTGCTTCCCCCATCCCCTTCCGTGCTTCCCCCATCCCCTTCCGTGCTTCCCCCATCCCCTTCCGTGCTTCCCCCATCCCCTTCCGTGCTTCCCCCATCCCCTTCCGTGCTTCCCCCATCCCCTTCCGTGCTTCCCCCATCCCCTTCCGTGCTTCCCCCATCCCCTTCCGTGCTTCCCCCATCCCCTTCCGTGCTTCCCCCATCCCCTTCCGTGCTTCCCCCATCCCCTTCCGTGCTTCCCCCATCCCCTTCCGTGCTTCCCCCATCCCCTTCCGTGCTTCCCCCATCCCCTTCCGTGCTTCCCCCATCCCCTTCCGTGCTTCCCCCATCCCCTTCCGTGCTTCCCCCATCCCCTTCCGTGCTTCCCCCATCCCCTTCCGTGCTTCCCCCATCCCCTTCCGTGCTTCCCCCATCCCCTTCCGTGCTTCCCCCATCCCCTTCCGTGCTTCCCCCATCCCCTTCCGTGCTTCCCCCATCCCCTTCCGTGCTTCCCCCATCCCCTTCCGTGCTTCCCCCATCCCCTTCCGTGCTTCCCCCATCCCCTTCCGTGCTTCCCCCATCCCCTTCCGTGCTTCCCCCATCCCCTTCCGTGCTTCCCCCATCCCCTTCCGTGCTTCCCCCATCCCCTTCCGTGCTTCCCCCATCCCCTTCCGTGCTTCCCCCATCCCCTTCCGTGCTTCCCCCATCCCCTTCCGTGCTTCCCCCATCCCCTTCCGTGCTTCCCCCATCCCCTTCCGTGCTTCCCCCATCCCCTTCCGTGCTTCCCCCATCCCCTTCCGTGCTTCCCCCATCCCCTTCCGTGCTTCCCCCATCCCCTTCCGTGCTTCCCCCATCCCCTTCCGTGCTTCCCCCATCCCCTTCCGTGCTTCCCCCATCCCCTTCCGTGCTTCCCCCATCCCCTTCCGTGCTTCCCCCATCCCCTTCCGTGCTTCCCCCATCCCCTTCCGTGCTTCCCCCCATCCCCTTCCGTCTTCCCCCATCCCCCCCTCCCCCCCCTTCCCCTTCCCTTCCGTGCTTCCCCCATCCCCTTCCGTGCTTCCCCCATCCCCTTCCGTGCTTCCCCCATCCCCTTCCGTGCTTCCCCCATCCCCTTCCGTGCTTCCCCCATCCCCTTCCGTGCTTCCCCCATCCCCTTCCGTGCTTCCCCCATCCCCTTCCGTGCTTCCCCCATCCCCTTCCGTGCTTCCCCCATCCCCTTCCGTGCTTCCCCCATCCCCTTCCGTGCTTCCCCCATCCCCTTCCGTGCTTCCCCCATCCCCTTCCGTGCTTCCCCCATCCCCTTCCGTGCTTCCCCCATCCCCTTCCGTGCTTCCCCCATCCCCTTCCGTGCTTCCCCCATCCCCTTCCGTGCTTCCCCCATCCCCTTCCGTGCTTCCCCCATCCCCTTCCGTGCTTCCCCCATCCCCTTCCGTGCTTCCCCCATCCCCTTCCGTGCTTCCCCCATCCCCTTCCGTGCTTCCCCCATCCCCTTCCGTGCTTCCCCCATCCCCTTCCGTGCTTCCCCCATCCCCTTCCGTGCTTCCCCCATCCCCTTCCGTGCTTCCCCCATCCCCTTCCGTGCTTCCCCCATCCCCTTCCGTGCTTCCCCCATCCCCTTCCGTGCTTCCCCCATCCCCTTCCGTGCTTCCCCCATCCCCTTCCGTGCTTCCCCCATCCCCTTCCGTGCTTCCCCCATCCCCTTCCGTGCTTCCCCCATCCCCTTCCGTGCTTCCCCCATCCCCTTCCGTGCTTCCCCCATCCCCTTCCGTGCTTCCCCCATCCCCTTCCGTGCTTCCCCCATCCCCTTCCGTGCTTCCCCCATCCCCTTCCGTGCTTCCCCCATCCCCTTCCGTGCTTCCCCCATCCCCTTCCGTGCTTCCCCCATCCCCTTCCGTGCTTCCCCCATCCCCTTCCGTGCTTCCCCCATCCCCTTCCGTGCTTCCCCCATCCCCTTCCGTGCTTCCCCCATCCCCTTCCGTGCTTCCCCCATCCCCTTCCGTGCTTCCCCCATCCCCTTCCGTGCTTCCCCCATCCCCTTCCGTGCTTCCCCCATCCCCTTCCGTGCTTCCCCCATCCCCTTCCGTGCTTCCCCCATCCCCTTCCGTGCTTCCCCCATCCCCTTCCGTGCTTCCCCCATCCCCTTCCGTGCTTCCCCCATCCCCTTCCGTGCTTCCCCCATCCCCTTCCGTGCTTCCCCCATCCCCTTCCGTGCTTCCCCCATCCCCTTCCGTGCTTCCCCCATCCCCTTCCGTGCTTCCCCCATCCCCTTCCGTGCTTCCCCCATCCCCTTCCGTGCTTCCCCCATCCCCTTCCGTGCTTCCCCCATCCCCTTCCGTGCTTCCCCCATCCCCTTCCGTGCTTCCCCCATCCCCTTCCGTGCTTCCCCCATCCCCTTCCGTGCTTCCCCCATCCCCTTCCGTGCTTCCCCCATCCCCTTCCGTGCTTCCCCCATCCCCTTCCGTGCTTCCCCCATCCCCTTCCGTGCTTCCCCCATCCCCTTCCGTGCTTCCCCCATCCCCTTCCGTGCTTCCCCCATCCCCTTCCGTGCTTCCCCCATCCCCTTCCGTGCTTCCCCCATCCCCTTCCGTGCTTCCCCCATCCCCTTCCGTGCTTCCCCCATCCCCTTCCGTGCTTCCCCCATCCCCTTCCGTGCTTCCCCCATCCCCTTCCGTGCTTCCCCCATCCCCTTCCGTGCTTCCCCCATCCCCTTCCGTGCTTCCCCCATCCCCTTCCGTGCTTCCCCCATCCCCTTCCGTGCTTCCCCCATCCCCTTCCGTGCTTCCCCCATCCCCTTCCGTGCTTCCCCCATCCCCTTCCGTGCTTCCCCCATCCCCTTCCGTGCTTCCCCCATCCCCTTCCGTGCTTCCCCCATCCCCTTCCGTGCTTCCCCCATCCCCTTCCGTGCTTCCCCCATCCCCTTCCGTGCTTCCCCCATCCCCTTCCGTGCTTCCCCCATCCCCTTCCGTGCTTCCCCCATCCCCTTCCGTGCTTCCCCCATCCCTTTCCGTGCTTCCCCCATCCCCTTCCGTGCTTCCCCCATCCCCTTCCGTGCTTCCCCCATCCCCTTCCGTGCTTCCCCCATCCCCTTCCGTGCTTCCCCCATCCCCTTCCGTGCTTCCCCATCCCCTTCCGTGCTTCCCCCCATCCCCTTCCGTGCTTCCCCCATCCCCTTCCGTGCTTCCCCCATCCCCTTCCGTGCTTCCCCCATCCCCTTCCGTGCTTCCCCCATCCCCTTCCGTGCTTCCCCCATCCCCTTCCGTGCTTCCCCCATCCCCTTCCGTGCTTCCCCCATCCCCTTCCGTGCTTCCCCCATCCCCTTCCGTGCTTCCCCCATCCCCTTCCGTGCTTCCCCCCATCCCCTTCCGTGCTTCCCCCCATCCCCTTCCGTGCTTCCCCTCATATTTCCCATGCTCGACACCCTCGATCTCTGGGAAAATGCCCGTCGCAAGTGCGGGCGCTGCGCGTCGGCCAGCCTTTCTCATTCTGTTCTGCCCACCCTCTCCCGTTCTGTTCTGCCTCCATCTCTCATTCCTTTCGCACTTTCCCTCATTCCTTCCCACCCTCTCTCATTCCGTACCACCCTAACTCATTTCGTCCCACCCTCTCTCTTTCCTTCCCACCCTCTCATTCCTTCCCACCTTCTGACATTCCTTCCTACCCTCATGCTCCCATTCTTCTCTCTCCCTCCTCCCTCACTCTCTTTCTCTCCTTGCACCCGCACTCTCTCTCTCCTTCCTCCTGCACTCTCACTCTCCTTCCTCCTGCACTCTCACTCTCCTTCCTCCTGAACTCTCACTCTCCTTCCTCCTGCACTCTCTCCCTCCGTCCTCTCGCACTCTCACTCTCCTTCCCACCACCCTCAGCCCTCCTTCCCCACCCTCTGCCCTGTTCCCACCTGCCCTCCCCATCCCTGCCTTTTCCTCTCTGCTCCGCCCTGTCCTTCCCCAGCCCTTCTCAACCCTTCCCTTCCTTTTCATGCCCTGCCCTTCCCCCTCACTCCTCGCCTTCCGTCCTCTAATTCCCATGCATGTCCGCTTGTGTGGATTCCCCTGCCGTTGTTCCCATGCACCTCACACCACCTCCCCCATGTTCCTTCACACGAATCGTTCTGCCTACCCCACTCCCCTATTTTTCAGTGGTGAAGCAGAGGAGCAAGCTGAGGTGCATCTAGTCGAAGCTTTGCACCATACCACCACCTGTTTCTTGTGTGTCGTATGCATGCATGATACTGTATTTTTGTTGAAGAGATGGATCTCAAAGGCACATACTGTAATGTACTTTTGTTTCTGCAGTGCAAGACATTTTTCCAAGACGCATGTACACTAAAGTGTCAGAAGGGTACAGAAAGGCATGTGCACGATACTTTTGATTGTACCCTTTCCAAGTCCTCTAAAAAAACGAGGGGAACTGTATTCTCTACGAGAATGGCATGGGATGATGGGCCTCTGAGCGAGTTGCAGTACCAGAAAAATCATCAGTGTAGTCACTGCAATAGCCAGGGAGAGGGAGAGAATACGAGCGATGGGAAGGGGGAAAGCAGGGAAAGAGGGGGAAGAGGGAAGCAGGGGAGAAGGGAAAGGGGGAGACAGGACGATGTGAGAGGGAAAGGGGATAGGAAGAGGGACCCATGAAGTTACGAACAGAGGAAACGAAGGACGGATGAATGGAGGAACAGAAGAAGGGAAGGCCGAATGAATGGAGGAACAGAAGAAGGGATGCAGGGAGGAAGAAGTTTGATCCGGAAAACGAAAAAGGGGGGAGGAGGGATAAGGAGAGGATCAATGGGGAAAGGATGGATGGGAAGAGGAGCGGATGGGTTATTGAGAGGGATGGATCGCGGAGGAGAGGGGAAGAAGCAGGGAGGAGAGGGGAAGAAGCAGGGAGGAGAGGGGAAGAAGCAGGGAGGAGAGGGGACGGGGTGGAGGTGACGGGGAGGTCGCGGGATGGGGTATGACCGTATGGTGGAATGGTGAAAGTCGGCAGAGGGAATGATGGGAGAGGGAAAGGAGGGATGGGGAAACGACGAAATGGGGATGGGAAGTTAGATGGCATGGCGAAAAGGGGTGGGGCGGAATGGGGTGGGGCGGAATGGGGAGATGAGGGATGTGGAGATGAAGGATGGGGAGATGAGGGAATGGGAGATGAGGGAAGGGGAGATGAGGGAAGGGGAGATGAGGGATGGGGAGATGAGGGATGGGGAGATGAGGATGGGGAGATGAGGTGAGGAGGAAATGGTGTGAGGAGGAAATGGGGTGAGGAGGAAATGGGGTGAGGAGGAGACGGGGTGAGGAGGAGATGGGGTGAGGAGGAAATGGGGTGAGGAGGAGATGGGGTGAGGAGTAGATGGGGTGAGGAGGAGATGGGGTGAGGAGGAGATGGGGTGAGGAGGAGATGGGGTGAGGAGGAGATGGGGTGAGGAGGAGATGGGGTGAGGAGGAGACGTCGCGGCGCCTCCGACTCAGCTCGACGCTGAGCCCGTGACAGCGGTGTTGCGGCAGGTAGCAATGCCCCACGCCTCTGCCCCGCGTCAACCCCGTCCTGGTGGCGTGGGATGGGGTGGTGTTGACGGGGGAGAGGCGGGGATGGTGACACGGAGAGGGGGACACAGTGCGGGTTTCCGCATCGTTTACAGCAGCACGCAGGGATGGGGAGGTGAGGGATGGCGCTGCACATTGGAAATGCTCCTCTGCCTTGTCATACGCTGCATGCGCTGGATGGGGAGGAGAGGAGTTGGGGTGAGAATACGAAAAGGGCGGACGTGCGGAGATGGGGTGGGGAGGTAAAATGGGGTGGGGCGGAACGGGGTGGGGCGGAACGGGGTGGGGCGGAACGGGGTGGGGCGGAACGGGGTGGGGCGGAACGGGGTGGGGGTGAATGGGGTGGGGCGGAATGGGGTGAGGCGGAATTCGGCAGGAGGAAGAGAGCGTGGGCGGCGGAAGGAGAGTTGTCGCGCGCGACGAGAGAAAGTGCGTGCGGACGGAGCTGGGGCGAAGCGGAGATGGGAGAGGCGGAGATGGGTGAGGCGGAGATGGGTTGAGGCGGAGATGGGTGAGGGAGTGGGCGGAGATGGGTGAGGCGGAGATGGGTGAGGCGGAGATGGGTGAGGCGGAGATGGGTGAGGCGGAGATGGGTGAGGCGGAGATGGGTGAGGCGGAGATGGGTGAGGCGGAGATGGGTGAGGCGGAGATGGGTGAGGCGGAGATGGGTGAGGCGGAGATGGGTGAGGCGGAGATGGGTGAGGCGGAGATGGGTGAGGCGGAGATGGGTGAGGCGGAGATGGGTGAGGCGGAGATGTGAGGCGGAGATGGGTGAGGCGGAGATGGGTGAGGCGGAGATGGGTGAGGCGGAGATGGGTGAGGCGGAGATGGGTGAGGCGGAGATGGGTGAGGCGGAGATGGGTGAGGCGGAGATGGGTGAGGCGGAGATGGGTGAGGCGGAGATGGTTGAGGCGGAGATGGGTGAGGCGGAGATGGGTGAGGTAGTGTGCGACGGGAGGGAATAGGCCGTGTGCGACGAGCGGGGGGTCGCGTAGGATTGCGCATAGACGATGGAATGGGAGTGAGCGTAGGCGAAGGGATGGAGTGACCGTGGGCGACGGAAGTGACCGATCGTGGGCGACGGAAGTGACTGATCGTGGGCGACGGTACGATTGAGCGATAGCGATGGGGAGGGAGTGAGCGTGGGCAACGGGAAGGGAGGGAGCGTGGGCGGCGGGAAGGGAGGGAGCGTGGGCGACGGGAAGCGTGGGCGACGGGAAGGGAGGGAGCGTGGGCGACGGGAGGGAGTGAGAGTGGGCGACGGGAGGGAGTGAGCGTGGGCGACGGGAGGGAGTGAGCGTGGGCGACGGAGGGGTGTGCGCGTATACGATGGAAGGGGAGTGAGCGTGGGCGACGGAAGGGAGTGAGCGCGCTTGTTCTAGGGGACTCCGCGTGGGCGACGGGAGGGACTAAGCGTTTGCGACGGAAGGGGAGTGAGTGCGGACGATGCAGTTTGGCCGCGATGCCGCTTTGTAAATTGAACAGAACTCAGCGACGCAGAGGGCGGTGACCCTAAGCTACGGGGTGAGCATGGCCCGCGACGCGACCCCTAAGTTCGACTCAGGCTTGTGTGGAAAGCTAGGGCGACGGGTCGTAACTCCGGGAGGAATAGAGGATGCGAAGAATGGTGGAAGCAAATTTCGCGGAAAAGCGATCACAGGTGGAGACATGTGAGGTGTGTAGCTTCTAAGCTATGGGCGTCAGGCCAATGCAACGCTCAGCGATCCCATTTTGCTGCGGAGAGGCCGGAAGCGTGAACGACTGGGCGATGCCCTCATCCTGGCAGAACGTCTCAAGGACGCCAGAGGAGAACTCACCACCCCTGTCAGAGTGCAGACGCAGGACTGGAAAGTCCCGCCGAAACCGCTCGCGCAGCTGGTGACGAGTAGCACGGATCTAGGGGACCAAGACACCACTGACATCCGCCTTGCGTCGCAAGGGGAAGACTGTGGTGTAGCGTGTGTAGTCGTCAACCACCAGCAGGAAGTAGCGCTCCTGGTTCGTTCCACCGACGGGGGCCGGGCCCCACACGTCCATGTGAAGAGTCTGCAGAGGAGCAGTTGTCGGAGGAAACTCGGAGGAGTGAGGAGCGGCGCGCTGCCGCCCCTCGACGCAAGGAAGGCACGGCGGCGCAAGTGAGCGCGGGAGGGGGGGCAGGGTCTCAGGGAGGCCAGTGACCAGGAGCCGGGAGTGCATGCGGCGCAGACGCTGCAGGGAGGGGGCGTCACTACCAGTCCGCTAGGAACTATGCAAAGTTTGTCGACCTGAATTACAACTTTCAGAAAGGTGTGCACACTCGGGGCAAAAGTCCCCCAGGTTGGGTTGCCCAGACCCGAGCGATCCAAACCTGTGCTGCCTACGACCTCAGTACGTTGTGCGAGTGACACATGGTAACCAGAGAGGTTTGGGTCTGGTAAGTGTTGCCCCTCCCATGGTCGGGAAGAAAGCAAACCTGAGGTTCGGCTCCAGAAACTGGGTCCGCAGAATCTTCCCCGATAAGCGCGCTTCTGCCTATCAAGGTTTGGTGATAAGCGCGGTCCTGCCAAAACCTTTTTGCGCCAAATTTTACGCTTCAGCCTGGAGAACGCCACTTTTGGGGCACACAAATTTAACGGGGTGAAGGTTCCACGGTGTTGCATCTCCAGGCAAATGTCCGCATAACTTGTGCGCTGCCAATTCGGCCTCGAGAGCTAGCATCAGCCAGCGCACAAGTTATGCAGGGCAGCAATTTGTGAGATTCGAGAGTTTGAGCGAGCTTCGTGGCAACACACCCCAGCAAATTGAGAGATTAGGGCCCAGTTCGGCTGGCGTTAAGGGCGTTTGAGCATTTTTAACCGGCCTCGAAAAAACGCCGGCTCGAAAGATCCTCGAAGTCAGGCCCCGCTTGCAGTGCACCTTCGAAAAAAACGGGCAGCCCTGTTCGGCTGGCATTATGGGGGTTAAACGTGATGGCGCGGAAGGGGTATGAAATTCGAGGAAGTCAGGTTGAAGGTGAATAGCACCTTCGAACAATCATATGATTGGCCAGTCCATTCGACCACTCGCATATGATTGGCCGCATCACTGATCCCTCGCATGGTGTAAGCTCTCGGCCATGCACCATGCAGCGGATCAGTGGTGCGCCACTTTGCTAGGGGAAACGGTTTCCTGGAACCATCGTATTGCTAAAACGCAGGCGTTAAAAGGGCTGTTCGGCAGGCATTTTAACGCGCTCAGGCTCGACATCAATCCGCCTATCTCGAACCTTGATAACCGATCGCTCGCTTATCGTTTCACTGTAGCCGGTCCCCGAGCCTGATATTAACGCCTTTTTTAACGCCTGCCGAACTGGGCCTAGACGTTTTGGTGCGGCCAGAAGCTACAAGGAAGGACACGTTCCGTACATTTAATGCGGAGGCAATAACGCCTACAGAACAGCGCCATCTGCTACCCAGTGCCCTCGTGATTGGTTCGCACATGGCATGCATGCTAGGCGAATTCAGGGTGTACGCTCGCTATGGGACAGCTCCGATGTAGGACACCCATCTATCTCCTCAACATCTATTTATTGAACGCGAGATAATGAAGTAATACGGTATGTGACCACAAATGTACAGACATAAGGATTTTCCAGAAATTACTACAGATTTTTTTATACTTTCTACATATAGTTAATGTTAGATTTAATATATCATGCTATATCATTACTCCATGTATCGTCTGATTTTCTAGTATAGAATATGTGGCTGGTCTTGTTTTACTGTAAACAGGTGAGTAATGATAGGACTCTCGGTCGCCAGGGGTGACTGTGCTGCCCTTTCGCCATTATAACAGGTGTCGACGAATTTTGAGTGGTCCTTTGCACGTCGGCCGAACATCACACCGCTCGTACCGAATGCTTAGGTTTCTATTGGCTGGCCTATTCGCGCTGTGACAATGACGAATAGAGTCGTAGTCAGGGCGCAGGTGAAGAGCCAGCCAGGTTTGCCAACACAACACCGAAATCGCGTACAGTTCGCATGGTCGCAAGTTGCAAGTGCGACCGTCCCCGCTTCCTCTCTACGACTCCGTGCGATTTTGCTCGCGTCGTTCACCCTGGCTTCCGCGACAAGTTCACAGGTGATCACTGTACATACACAGTGAGCAAATCGCAGCAGTCGCCTGCAGCGCTGGTATCCAAATCGCCCCTCCCCTACCGCGTACCGCCCGCCAGCAGTACCCTTCGTTTGGTCCTACCTGCGAGAAACCGAAACCACATTGACTCGACGCGCTGTCGCCAGCCAATCACACGGCAAATCCCCCTCTTCCTGAAACCCAACTCTCGTCGCCCAGCCAGCCCCACGCCCACCAGCTTCTTCCCTCTCGCTTAGCCCTCACACTCACCTCGTTGCACCGGTCAGCAAACCTCTCTTTGCAAACATACCGTCCACGCTTTCCTCACCCTATCTTAGTTTCCTTTCCTCTCACACCACTGTGCTCCTGAATGTGTTGGGCTGACGGTTGCTTTCCTTTCAGGCCTTGTCATCCGTGGTGCACCTGGCTCCAATGTCTACTGTCTCCCCCATTCATAGAATCAAGTTTCCTTGCGCAGGTGCATCGTGCAATCCTAGTCTAGCTCTGTCCCTCTCCGTTGTCGTAACGTCCGACGGAGCAGCATGGTTTGGTAGTGGATAGAATACGCTTCAAGCTCTTGCGTTTTCCTACAAGTTCTGAGTGTGCACCACCGTCGTGACGCCATAGGACCGTAGCGTAGATTACAAGCGCGTGCGAGGCGCGCAAATAGTACCCAGCTTGGCGTCGCGGACGCACACGACGCGCTGCAATGCTGATTATAGACAACCAGCCAGTTCCGCGCAATCTCGCGGTACGTGAACCCTGCGGGAGCGCGTCTAAGTCACTAAGATGGCATCGGCACCTGAACCTTCTTCCGCTCTTTTCTTGTATTTGGCTCGTGTGCCGCTCTAGTCCCACTTTTGTCGGTCGCTGCGCGCGCGTCGCGCTCCACTGCACGGCTCAAGCCGTTCATTCCGTCTTGCTCGCTGCAGTGAGCCTCAAACACTCGCCGCGGCTCCGTCAGTGCGCCCGTATCCGTCGTCTCCTCCCGCCTTCAACCCCATTCAATCTCCCACCCTCCCCGTACCCTCTCTTTTCCCGCCCTACCCTCCCCCCCCCCCCCGCCCCCACTCCCCCCAACCCCCGCCCTCCGCCGTTCGCGCGAATCCCGCACCACGCAGGGCGCGGCGCTGCTCCGTTACCTACTCACGCACCCGAGCCTCGTCGCCGGCTCGGAGGAGTTCTTTCGCCGAACCAGCCGATCAGGCTCGGAAGCCGGTCCTGACCCTGGTCCATGCCGACCGAAGCACGAGGAAAGAGATGAAAACGAGCGGCCGGCATGCGGCAGCGACGATCGTTTGTCCGACAGTCATGCTGCCGGCCAGCTGGCAACGCAATCAACTGGCAGCCCCCCACCGGCAACTATTCCCTCCGCCGCGACTCCTTCCGCGCATCTTGGCGCAAACCCCGGGGAATCACGCTCTTCCAGCCTGGCTGCCGCGCGCGCAGAGGAATCCAACGCGTGTTCGTTGAGATGCGCGGAGGCGCAAGGAGGCGCGGAAGAGGGGGGGATGGGGGAGCTGCGAAACGCGACTGACTGTGACGGCGGTATCAGCGCCGCGTGTGGCGGCGGCATTAGCGGCGCCGATGCTGGTAGCGGGGTTTCGATGTGCCGAGGGCGGGAGGGCGGAGGGGGCGAGTGGATGCGCCGGCAGCAGGACATGCTGGGCGGCGTGGGGAGCCGCTCTCTCGGAGCGCCACGTGGCGAGGAATCTGCTGCTGACACGTGTGATGCTGGCAGTGGTGCGCTGCCCCGCGCGATATGGCGCAGTTTGAGTGCGAGTGTGCTTAAAGCGCGTGATGCTGCAGCGGGGATAGCTGGTGGATATGCTGTTGGTAGCGGGGCTGCTGGTAGCGGGGCTGCTGGTAGCACTGCTGACGGCTGTGATGGAGCAGGTGCGGCAGGCGCAGCA